ATAATAGCAAGGAGGATAAGAATAAGTTCTAAAAGCTCACATCCCATATCCTCATGCTGCCTCCGACAATTTCACCAACATTTGGCATAAGGAGATCAACCGATTCTGTCAAATCTGGATCTTCAGTATCTCGTTGCATGTAAAAAGCTTTTAGATGAGCAGGAAAACGGTTGAGGAAAATCGGCTGTAAAAGTTAATCAGTCACTTAACTACATAGAGAAAGTGCGTAAACCAACCTCATTGATTTGGTCGGTCATGGACCGTTCTGCAGCCTCTGCAATATCATCACCAAACTTGTAAGGCTGGCCATCTTCATTCATAATGTTATTTTTTTGTAACCATGCTATTCCTTCGCTATACTTCATCCTCTTGAAAGGACGATGTGGCGACTTGAAACTCTAAAAACAAAATACTTTACAACGTCTCACAATTGCAGTAGAAATTTAAATCATAAAACAGCACTTGCCGGGTTAACAAAATCAATTAAGTCCTTGACAAAGGGGTCTTTTAACAACCTCTCAACCGTGTCACAAACCAAATCTTCAATTTTGTTCATTAATTCATCGAAAGTTATAAACGCACACTCCGCTTCGACGTGAGAAAACTCAGCCAAATGACGACGAGTACGAGATTTCTCGGCTCTAAAATCCAAAAATCAAGACAAAAGTAATTTCTTTACAAAAGCGTCTCACTATTATCTCAATATTGCAAAAAAGCTTCCAGAATTTAGGCAGTACGATCACCTGTATGACTGAGCAATACAATAAACGTCTCCTATCGAAGAGAGGCAAGTCTCGAGATACAGTTGTGACGATTGAGTTAGATATGCTGATTCCCCGAAATAATTAAGTGGGAAAAGAGTTGAACCGCCTTCCACCTATAAAGGCAATGCCAAATAAAAATAAAAACTTTATGCGTAAACTTTAGAATGTGTTTATCAAGACAAGAATGGAGCGCATGATAACCTGTGTCTGCACAAGCGTTGGAGGAAACACTTCAGTGTATCCAGCTTCGTAAAAATGCTCCCTCATTGCACGAGTCACAGCACTCCTTATGCGGATAATACGAGATGCATTTTCACCCCGTATCACCAAATGCCGGTTTTCCAACAGTGTATCTACCTTGGCTTCCTTATTAAGAACGTCATCAATACCTAAAAAATCAAGATCGATAGATGAAAACAACAGTGAAATAGAAGATACATATTAGAAGTGCATTAACTTACCTCCTGGTGGAGCTTTCCCGATTATTTTCCAATAGTCAACATGTAATTCGAGACCATAAGGAGCAACCTGGCCTTCAGCAACAGGTTTCAAAGTCCCATAAACAGTGACCGTACTTTCAGGATTTAAAGTCACTGCGTCATATGTTTGACACTGGAACGTACAGAGGTTAGTGAAGTTAAAAGGCAAAAAGCAATATTTTGTCGCCGTAATTACTCAAACCAGGCAACACCGGAGCAATGTGAAGCAAAAAATTTTGAGAGAAAATGAAGTTTTGCAAAATAAGAATTGACATAACACTATCAAATTATCTTACTCATCTCCACTCACTTACAAAACTAGAACTTAATCTTCTGACAGCCTACAGTTCCTTCAAAAAACATAGTTGAATTAAAGGTCAATTAAGAGTGGAATTCTCCTGGGTGACGGAACGGTTGAAAGACCTAACAACGTCCCTCTACCTTTCGACCAAGCACTAACTAGATGATGCTACTGGAAAACGAGCAGTAAAACATTAACTTATTTGTCTGAAATTTAGTTTTCCTTTTGCATAATTTTCTCAGAAGTGTATTAGAAGTTAGAAAATTTAGCTTTTTCTTCAGACCAAGCCAGTAAAAGTCGAAAGAAGAGGAGGACTGAAATTCATCACAAGTAATGATTTTGAAGCAGCTATACAATCTTAAACGATAATTAAAAGATACCAGTTTATCAGTAAGCACACACTGGAGGAAACCCGAACCATCGCGCAGTACAAGAAACATCAAATTTTTCCCTAAAATTGGTAAAATAGCATTACGTGACATACTCACATTTAGAATATAATCAAGCGGCATTTAACAACATAATAAAAAAGTTCCTAGTTCAAACTACTCAGAGCACCTAACGCCTATCCCAATCACTGAAACAAAAAATGCACTTTATTTTTTGACCTTGCCGCCTCAAGCGATGAATCCAAGCTTTCACACATATCCTCCTATCTCGATATTTAGTACATTCACGAATCTTCACAACTGGTGGTTCTGGAAGAGTTGAATCAAGTTCAATCTTTATGTTTTTCGCTTCCTCTAAGGCTGCCGCTGTTGCTCCTGCAGCTTTTTCCGCCTAAAACCGTAAACAACAAACCTTTCTAGAAAATCAAATTCTATTTTCTTTAATGAAGTTGTAGGTCACAATACCCGTTCTTCAGCCTTGGCCATTTTCCTCATTTCCTGCTCAAACTTTTTTTGATTCTTTTTAAGAGCAGTTTTAGAAGCAGGTTCCCAAGAAGATACACCGTCTTTCTCAGTCCGCACTAAGAAATCACCGCAAGGAGATTTTGCTAATTGCATGGCTTGAAAGAGTGTTCTAAATACCTTACTTTTTTACTATCGACCTGTAGAAAATGTTAATATAATGCAACCTGATAATTTACAAGGGCTTGCAAGACGACATCTTAACATGAGAAAGTAAAAGCAAGACAAAACTTACCTAAGTGGCTTCATTTCACTGCCGTCATTTCCATCGTCACCGTTCAGGGAATCAACATAAAACTTTGGTGCAGCCATCATATCCTATAAACGGGTAAAGCTCCTGCAATTTAAAAACTTTTTCAGACCTCTTGCAAAATGTAAAGACCATCACACTGAAACCACAACTCGTAATTTCTGATTCTTTTAAACAGTAGTACTCGTTTAGGTTGAAAAAACATATATCCTCAACTATCGGCCTAAGCCGTGATATTGGTACGAAATCGGGCGCGACCTCCGTTATAAA